AAGGAAGGAAGGAAGGAAGGAAGGAAGGACATGGAATGACCAAAAAGCTGATGAGTAAGAGTTATTTCAAATAACAGAATTTTTCATCCACATGAGATATTAGTGTGTCATTCCAGTATACAAAATAAAGAAGAAAAAGCCAGGCACTGGTGGCTCACGCCTGTCATCCTAGCTACTCAGGAGGCTGAGATCTGAGGATCGCTGTTCAAGGCCAGCCTAGGCAGGAAAGTCTGAGAGACTCTTATCTCCAATAAACCATTCACAAACCGGAAGTAGTGCTGTGGCTCAAGTGGTAGAGCACTAGCCTTGAGCTGAAGAGTGCAAGGACAGCGCCCAGGCCCAGAGTTCGAGCCCCATGACCAACAAAAAAAAAAGAAAATGTGACTTAATAAGATTAATAATGAAAAACAAAGAATCAGATCATACTGAAGCTTTGTTCCAGAAAATCCACTTTGTATAACAGTGTGCCAAAAAAAAAGCTTTATTTATCTCCTTTTGTCCCATAATAATCCTGAGGATATATTGTTAATTTATATTTTACAAATGAGGAAATTAGGACAGAGAGAAGTATTGGTCAAGATCATATACCTAAATAACAAAACATAGAATTGAATTCATATTACTCTGATTCTCAAACTTAGTTCTGATCAACTACAGACTATAATTGACTTGGTTTATAAATGTCTCTTCAAATCCAAGCATTTGTTGATTGTGAAGAAATGTGCTATATAATATTCCTGTTTCTCTTTCTTCATTCCTTCCCTCCTGATCTCAAATGTCCTCCTGTGACTGAGATGAATTTGTGGAAGAGCTTTCTTCTCTGAATTTTGACAATAGATGAGCAACAAAAGACAGGAGTTGGGATGATTACAGGTTTTCTGTGTAACCCAGTAGGAAGGAAAAAATGCCTTCAGATAGAAAGTCAGGAGCAAGGCAGGGGATAAAAGAGGAAACAGAGAGAGAAGGGACAGGAAGTTGCTGATCTTTCCTCTCTTGATCACTTAAGTTTAGGTAAATCCCAAGTTTAGTCTATGGCATTTTCCATGCTAGCCTCACACACACAAAAAAAATGTTAAATGATATAACACTCAATTTAGTATCTGATTCAACTTCACTTAGAATATAAAGACTAATATTATGAGTACCTTAGATAGATAGATAGATAGATAGATAGATAGATAGATAGATAGATAGATAGATAGATAGATAAACAGAGATGTATACCAAGTATAAAAAGATACATTTGAAATCACCTGTTTTCCACTGTATTTTCTCCCTTCCCCATTACCTCAGCGTGGTCCCAGGAGACCACCACCAGCATCACCTGGGCATTGCTAGGAATATAAATTCTTCATCCTCTGTGTTGGAATTTCTGCACCAGAAGCCAAGCAATCTGTGTTTTAGCAAGACCTCGAGATGCTAGGACTGCCTGAAAAGTTTAAGAACTTCTGGCCAGTGCAATGGTTCACACCTATAACAATCCTCGACACTCAGGAGGCTGAGATCAGGAGGATTGCAGTTTGAGGCCAGCCAGCACAAAAAGTTATGAGACTTAATCTTAACCAATAATTTTTTAAAAATGGGCCTAATGGTGCACACCTATTGTTTCAGCTAACATGGAAAGCATACATAGGTAGATCACAGCCAGCCACAAAGTGGGATCGTGAGAAATAATGAAATTAGAAGGAACTGGAGGACCTGATTCAAACTGCAGAATTCCTTGCCTAGCAAAAGCAGGACCTTGAGTTTAAATCCCAGTACTGCCCCCCACAATGAACTTCTTCTTCAGGACAAGTGTCTATTATAATCGACACTTGTTATAGACAGCCTCCTATCCCAAACAGCTTTCCTTATTCACAGAATCAAATGCCATCTGATTGACTCAAGGGCAGCGGTCAAGAAACCACTGTTGAGGTGTTCGCTTTCTAATTTGTAGACCTACCTTCAGGAGATAGCTGGTGTTGAGAAGTATTTTATTGGCCTAATACGTGGGGCTGGGACTACAGAGAAAAGATGGCACTGGATCGACAACTCTGAGTTCAATGGCAAGTACGTGAACCTCCCACATTTTTCTGGGGAATCTTGCTTTATGTCAAAAGATCAAACCTGAAATTTATCCCCAAATAGTTCAAAGCCTGAGGCTCAACAATTTGTTTTCTTTTTTCTTCCAACTCGTATGTTCCCAGAGACACATTTGCTCTAAACTTCTTATTATAAAAAATATTAAACATCTTACATAATAAATAAGAGGATTCATATGACAAATCATTTTGTTCCAAGTAAGACCCAAACAAGTTGTTTTTGTAGCTCTCATATCTCTCAAACTGAAAATCACCTTTCTTCCCAAATGCTTATAAGTTTTCCATGATGTAGCTCCTTTAGCTAACCTAAAGTTATTATGATAAAATTGCCTCTGCTTTAAAAGCTATGGACTTCTAACTTCCAAGAATAATCTCCAGTGACTCATTCCATGGGGAGAAACTTTGGCATAAAATGTAATATTCCCATTGTTCTATGGAAATGCTGTCTCAGACAAGGAACAAGTCAGGACCCCAGCCTACCACTATTGGTCCTACAGAGCAGACAAAATTAACATTCATGTCTACAAAAGTGTCAGGCCCTACGCTAAGCACTCTACAGAATTTCCCACAGTATCCACCTTGACACCTAAGAAAACTTTGCTTACTATCTAATAGAGACTGATGAGAAGGTTGAAATGTGTTGAGTGTCACACAGCACAAAGCGGCAGCACCACATGTGACCCCCATATTCATTTCAGCGCACAAAGCTTACTACTTTTCCTTGAAACCAGATTCTTTTCTGTTAGATTGAAAGAGAGATAGAAAAGGAGATGGGAGAAGGCCAACAGATACCTCTACCAAGTCTTTCCTGAAGCCAGCCAGCTAAGTCTTCCTGCTTATGTACATGCACGGAGTACAAACACACTTGGGGAAGGGAAGCCATGGAGATATTTCAGCCCAGGAGTCTAAATGACTCCTACACCCTGGGAACAAGAGGAAGAAGTGGGTGTAGAGCTGGATCTGGAGAAGCTAGATTGAGAAGGAGGGGGCTGGGCTGAGCTGGCGTAGAAGGGCTGGTGCAGAGGGAAAGTTATGACAGGATGGTGGGCCTGCTGCCCTTGTGTGCAGGCCCCACCACACTCCCACTCTGCCATCAGAAACGGCGGGACAGAGATCACAAGCCATAAACGTGTTTTCTTTCCCACTTAGTGTGACCCATCAGAACCAGAACTTCAACTGTGTCACCATAGGCCTGACAAAGACTTTTGATGCTGCACCTTGTGACGTCAGCTACCGCTGGATCTGCGAGAAGACGCCCTAAGGATCACAGCTGTGCAAAAAGAAAAAAAAATAGATAAAATAAAGAGAAAAGTTGCCACTGGGAGTGGTCCAGGAATCAGATTACTGTGCCCATCTTCCACAGGTTCCTGGCAGAGCTCCCTACTGAGACCTCAGAGCTGGTTCACCACCCCTTACACACACACACACACACACACACACACTTACACACAACCAGGAAAACACCCCTGGGCCAGCTGTTCTTCAAGGTCACACTTCCCCTGACTGCTTACTAGTGGAGGTCTTGCCTGTCTGAAAAGTGAACTTGTATATTCTGCGTAGGGGAATTAGTTGCTAGTCACCTCTAGGAGACAGGTCCACTTTTATGAAGCCAGCACAGTTGGTGTGGAAATGAAGTCTGTGTCTATAGAGCTGAACATTTCTCACTGACCTACAGGGTTTAGCCTGCTGACAGAATTTGTTTCACCCTCAGCGACTGTGACTATACTATGGGGAAGGAACTGCAGACTGAACAGATATTAGAACTATTGAGAAGGCAGCAGGGGTAAGAGATGGGTGATCTCAGGTTCTAGGACCCCCATTTCTGTTCCCAAGAGACCCCAATCACCTGTCTCCCCTGCAACGCGGGTAGGCAGAGGCCTTCATCAGGCTCAGTTGAGACCTGACCTTGGAGAAGGTTCCAACAGCTGAATATGGAGAAGAAAGACATTATTTGTAGGAATGGAGGGGAGTCTGGAAAGGGCAGAATCTGCTCAGTGATACCTCTGAAAAAATAAATTGTCAGACCAAGGTGGAAGGGGCTAACAAACTAGATCTCTATTCTTTAGCACTTCCCTGACAATACACTCAAGCCTAAAACCTTCTTGTCCTGGTATGGGATTCTGGTATAGCATATGTAGCCAGCTCCTTTACAACTGGAATTTGGGTGTGCAAATTCACTTTCCTCTGAAGTTTATTTCTCAACCCTGTGAGTTGAATACACTTTGAGAATTTGGGGCCTCAGTGATTACGGCATATTCCACTATTCAGTTCTAGAGGGACCCAGACATGTATGTTTCCTGGTATGTCTCCTGACCTCAAGAATCCTTGCACTGGGGCTGGGAAGGTGGCTCAGTGGTAGAGTGCATGTCTTGCATGCCAGAGGCCCTGGGTTCAATTCCTCAGCACCACATAAGAAAAAAGAAAAAAGCGCTGTGGCTCAAGTGGTAGAGCACTAGCCTTGAGCTGAAGAGCTGAGGGACAGCGCCCAGGCCCAGAGTTCAGGCCCCATGACCGGACCCAAAAAAACAAACAAACAAAAAGAATCCTTGCACTGATTGGCATCAGTGGTCGAGCAGAGTGAAATGCAGAGAATGAGAAGGACCATTCAAGGACATGTAGGATGGAAGCAAGGGGCAGGCATGGAGAAGAAAGGGGATACCAAGAAACAGAAGTCACAAGAAGAAAGAAAGGCAAGAAAGAAATAGAAAAGTCTTGGATCCCTTGGCTATTATCTGCATCCAGAGGAAAATATCCACAATGTGCACACCTTAGGAGAGAAAAGGAGATGCACTGGGTGTTTTGAGTAACAAGACTTATACTATAGATAAGATTATATAAAAACTTAGTAATCTAAGAAAACAGACTTACCATCTGCCTTTAATTTCAATGTATTGTTACTTTATTGATTGTGTTTATCATTAATCATGATAGAATTCTACAAATTGTATCTTTTATTACAACACTAAATACTTTATATTGCTAAGTTTTACAACTTTTAGCTCATTATCATGGCCAGTTACAGCTTTTTAAAAATGAGATAATGCACTAATGTTAGAACTGGCTTGAAGGGAATTACCCAACAAAATTGTTTGGGAGGGAGGTAGATATTGGAATTAGGTTAATACCATGTGGAAATATAAGTTCTTTGATGTTATTAGCACTCAAATACCATAAGGAATGGAAAGAGGTATGGTCTGTAGTGGAGAAAAGAATCAAATTCTACCCTGAGCTAAGCTTTAGAACTCAGATAACGGAAAGGAAATAATAACCTCCTTTGATAAAAGAGAACTGCATTTGCCACACTTCTTCTCTTAAGACAGAATAATTGCAGGTGTTTGAGGTCAGGAAATGTAGACATGTAGAGATTCCTGTGGTCAAAGCCCAAATTTCCCCCAAATTGAGAAGATACTTGTGTAAAATTCTAAAGGAAGCCAGTTGGGTTTTGGTGAGGGTGAAGAGTATGAAAGGCATGCGTAGACCTAGGTTTAAAGCCACTACTGGGAAGGAGCTCCAGATCCTTCCAAGGGTAGACACATATGACCTTTATTAGGCAGAATTTGTTTTAAAAACTGAATTTTAGTAAATCATTGTTTTAGAGTTGGATTTTGTTTCTAGCATATTGTGTGAAACTGTATAGATTTCATACACTTTCTTGCATCTTCTTTTTCCTACTTGAGAAATAGAGCAGTGATACCCACTTCAGAAAATTTTGTATATGATAAATAAGATCCCTTTATACATCTCAATGGCAACAAACTTAAGGCAAAGCCCTTTGTGGAGGATTTAAAATTGAGATCTTCCATCCAAGCATTTGTTTGTCAATTTGGTAGAAGCTGAGTGTAGGTGAGCCACTTAATTTCTGGAAACTTGTTTATTCATTTATAGTGTGGAAATAAACATTTACCCAAGTTAGAGGGGGTCCCTCAAAACTTCTGTGGCTTAGCCAGCGAAACATGGAAGTCATACTTGCCTATGGGCCTAGGCTAGCTCAGTCAAGCCCCACCCAACTCACATTTACCAATAGAAACCATCTGAGAGCAGCAGAGCCAACAGTTGAGCCTAGGCTACATCGGTAGGAACTCTACTTCACAGAAATAAAAGCTTACTGCTTAATGCCACTGTAGTTTTATGGCTGTTCCTATCTCCTAACTGATTCCTTCTTCCCTGTCTGGTCCTTTAGTAGACTGCGTACCCCACAATCCAAATATTTAAAACATTAGATTGTATTATTCTCCTCTAATTCCCTGAGATGGTTCCCAACTCCTAGGAAAAAGTCAGTCTTCCACTTTTAGTGTATGAGTGTATCTTTGCCAATAAGGTATGTTTGTTGCAGAAAAGTAATAGATCTTATTTTTTTAACCAATCATCTAATCTGTTTTGGGGTGGCAAGTTAAGACCATTTGAATTTAGAGCTATTATAGAGGTGTTTGCTGATTCTGGCAAGTTTTTTGATTGATTTTACTGTTTGTCTTTCTCTCTTATTTCTCTTGGGAGTCTCCTTGCTTATTGAGTTGGACTTTTTTTTTACTCTTTCCTTTTTCTCATTTTCTGATCTATTCCCTTCCTGAATTTTAACTTTTCTTGATCGCTCATGTTTGTGGTTGTCTTTCTTCTGTGCATAGATTTTCTTTAAAAGTCTTCTACATGCTGGTTTACTGGTCTTGAAATGCTTTAGTTTGCACTTATTTTGACCTTTATATCTAAATTGATTTTAAAGAGTAAAGTTTCTGGATATAGTACACTTGATTGGCAGTGATTTAACTTCAGAATTGAAACATATAATTCTATGCTTTCTTGACTTTTAAGATTTTTTGCTGAGATATCTGTTATAATAAATTTGTACATTTTCTTTTGTAGCCTTTGTACATAAACCAGGATTTTTTGCAGCTTTCAATATTCTTTCTTCTGTAATTTTAACATTTTGATTATAATAAAATGTAAACAATCTAACTCTGGTCATGTCTATTAACACTTTCTATTTTTTAGTATCTTTGCTTTCTTTCTTCCTTCAAAATTCTATAGTTTTCAAGGTAGGTCCTGGAGGCTCACTCCTGTAATTCTAGCTACTTAAGAGGGTGAAATTGGGAGAGTTGAAGCTTCAAGTCAGTCCAGACAGAAAACTCCACATGACTCTATCGTCACTGAGAGCAACTGGATAGAGTGATGTATACCTGTCAAACCAGCAACTATGGGGAGTCAAGAACCAGATCATGGTCTAGGCCTATGCCTGGGCAGGGCACAAGAACAGTATCTTTATATACTGGCAGCATGGCTCAGTGCAAAAGCACCAGTGTACAAAGTAGGGGGTCTTCAGTTCAAACTCTGGTACCACCAAAACATATTTTAAGATTTATAGTTTCTATTGTTGAAGTATTTCACCTCCCTGGTTAAGTTGATTTCCTAGGCTTGTTTTGAGACTATTGTGGATGGGATTGTTTTCTTGATTTTTTTTCAGCATGTTTATTGTTATGTATATAAAAGCTACTCATTTTTGTTATGTTGCTTTTGTATTCTGCTACTTTGTTGAAAATGTCAACTTTAAAGAGTTTTCTAGTGGGAACTTTAAGGTGTTTTAGTAACAATATGTAGTATGAAACAGGGATAAATTGATTTCTTCTTTTCTATTTGTAACCCATTTAGCTCTTCCTCTTTGCCTACTACTATGGCTAAAAATTCAAACACTATAATAAGACTAGTGAAAGTTAATGCCCTTATCTTGTTCTTGATTTTAGAAGGAATGCTTTCAGTTGTTTCCTATTGAGTAGAATGTTAGTTTGTGGTATATAGCATTTATTAGTTCTAGTTTCTTTAGGGCTATTTATTCAATATATTTAATTTTCCAAGTAATTATATATAGAGAGAGAGAGAAAGTGAGAGAGAGAGAGAGAGATAATTGAAGTAGAGGCATGTCTCAAGAGTAGAGCGCAAGCCTACAAGTGTGAGGCTCTGAGTTCAAATTCTAGTACCACAAAGAGACACAGACATACACACACACACGCGCACACACACACAGATGATGATGATTTTTGTCCCTGATTCTATTTATATGATGTATTACATATCTTGATTTGTATAAATTGAACCATCCTTGCATTTCTATAATAAAGCTAATGTGATTAATATGGTTGCATTATATGAACATTTTAATATGCTGCTGAATTTTGTTTACAAGTATTTTTTAAGAATCTTTGTATCTATGTTCATCAAGGATTCTGGTCTAGCATTTTCTCTTTTGTATGTTCTATCTAGTTTTGATATCAAGGTTTCTACCTTTATAAAATTAGTTTGCAAGTATTCTTTTCCT